TGTAACATACCTAGGCACTTTGTCAAAAATCAGTTGGCTGTATGTGGATGTGTTAATTTCTAGATTCTCAATTCTGTTCCATTGATCAATGTATCTTTCATTGTACCAGTACCAGGCTATTTTGACCACTGTAGCTGTGCAGTAGATTTTGAAATCTGGGAGTGAGAGGCTTCCAATCTTGTTCTTCCTCTTGAGCAGTGCTTTGCTTATCCTGGGTCTGTTTCCTTTCCATATGAAGTTTGTAATTGTCTTTTCCATCTCTTTGAAGAATGTCGCTGGAATGGATTGGGATTGCTTTATATGTGTATATTGCTTTGAGTACAAGTTTAATCTTGAACACTGTAAAGAGGTTTTATACAGCAGATTTGTCTAATATAATACATCATTTGATTTCTTGACAGCTGCTTCCATGATCATTGATTGTGGATCCAAGCAAATTAAAGTCTTCAATATCAATCTTTTCAGCATTTATCGTGATGTTATTTATTGGTCTAGTTGTGAGGAATTTTGTTGTTTTTTTTACACTGAGGTGCAGTATCCTTATAGGAGGCTGTAGTATTTTAAGTCCTTTTCATTTTAGCAAGCAACATTTTGCCATCTGTATATTGCAGGTTGTTAGTGAGTTTTCCTCAAATCCTGATGCCATGTTTTTCATATAATCTAGCTTCTTGGATTATTTGCTCAGCATACATATTGAATAAATATGGTGAAAGGATACAATCTGGCACACACCTTACCTAATTTAAACCATATCAGCATTCCCTTGTTATGTTTGAATAACTGCCTCTTGGTTAATGTTTAGGTTCCTCAAAAGCACAATTAAGTGTTTTGGAATACCTATTTTTATCAAAGTTATCCATAATTTGTTATCATCTATACAGTTGAATGCCTTTGCGTAGTCAATACAGCACAAGTAAACATCATTTTGGTATTGTCTGCTTTTAGTCAACATCTGCCTAATGTCAGCAGTGATGTCCTTAGTTCTATGTCCTCTTCTGAATCTCTCTTGAATTTCTGGCAGATTCTGTCATTTATATTGCTGCAATCGTTTTTGAGTTATCTTCAGCAAAAGTTTACTGTCAAGTGATATTAATGATACTGTCTGATGATTTCTGCATTCCATTGGGTCACCTTTCTTTGAAATGGGTACAAATATGGATTTCTTACAATCAGTTGACCAAGTAGCTGTGTTCCAAATTTCTTGACATAGACGAATAAGCATCTCCAGTGCTTCAGCATTTCTCAAACCAAAAAAAAAAGAAAAAAAAGTCAAGCCACGAGTTAATATACTGAAGGGTTCAATGGGGGAAAACAGTGAGTGAAAACATCAAAAGAAGATGGAAGGAATACATAATGTACCAAAAAGAACTGGCCAATGTTCTATCATTTTAAGAGTAATCATCTGATCAAGAAACAATGGTACTATATGCACAACCTTGGAAGAACAGGGCTCTGGGATACAGGGATTGAGGCATGGATGGAATGGGTAAAAGAGGTTAAGATGCTTGGCTGTCTTTTGAATCTTGGTTTCCCTGGTATACCATTATAAAATAGACACTTGAGGGGGAGAGAAAGGAATACCAGCTTGGAGCAGCTAGAACAGAAGATACTTCTTGAAAGAAAGAACAACAGGAAAAATCAAAAACAATAATGGCAGTCTGACTAACTACCATAAGAACAAGCAAGTTGCTCGCCCAGGAGACATCAAGGCAAGTGGTCAGTTTCCCTCAGGGAAAACCTCCTTCCAAGCAAGACTGAGACTCAAGGGGAATACACGAGCCGACATGTTGTCTGACAGGTGACCACATTGGTCACCAATAAGGGGAAGTGAGGGAAAAGGAAGTCCTACCACGTTCAATAGACTCCTGTGAACCTGGGTTGAGACCGGTTGGCCAGCAGTATGGCAAGACCTGGGGACTCCTGGGCCCAGAGACAGTGACATAGCCACAGAGGACTAGAGTGGAAAGTGAAGCATCCAGCTGATAAGAAGTGAGGGGATGCACAAGAACACCCACACTTGCAGATAATATCCACTTGACCTGGCTTCAATGGCTGGATGATCAGAACTCAACTAGAACAAGAAAGAAGAGTAAAAAAAATGAGTAACCTGATACAATTTGATGAACTTGACATTTGATGAACCTATTGAATGCAGTAGCTCAAAAGAGGAAACAAATCTTTACAGCAAGGATCATTCCCACCCCCTCTGTGTACAGGATAGACAGAGATGGGCAACTTAGGCATTGGCTATGCAAATTGGTGGTGGTGGGTGGGGGAGGGGATACAAAGGTAAGAAGTGACTGGCTTACAAGCTTTCAAGGAGGAGCCTAGATCCAGCGGGTGCAGAGGAAGGGTAGAATCTCCACTCAATGGTATCCAATCAGTTTGGATGGGGCTGATGATAGGAGATAGGGATAGTAGGACTCTTGTGCTACAATAGTGAATAATTGCTTTCAGGAGTAACTATGAAGGCTGAAAATGTAAAGGTAGATGTTTTAGAAAGCAAAAGCAGGGGAGTGGTTGACTTTGCAGTCCAGGAGCAAGGTCCCTGGGACCATCAAGGGAGAAGAGCGGAGTGTGGGACCTTACCTAGAGAAGTGGTGACACCAAAGATGGAGGCAGAGACAATAACGTGGAGAAATGGAGCATTTGGGGACTCTAGACAAGATGAAAACTATTCAGTGGGAATTCTACCTTCCTCCGCATGCTCTGAAACTAAACTTCCTCTCGAAAATTTATAAGCCAGCCACTTCGTTCCATTGTACACTCTCCTCCCCCCACTGTAGGTTACTGATGTCTAAGTTGCCTGACCCTATCAACCCTGTGTACTGAGGAGATAGGCTTGATCCTTGATGAGAAGACTCCTTCCCTCTCGGTTGGTATTTTGAGCAACTACATCCATAAGTATCGGTCAAGTTCATCAAATTGTAGTAATTTACACTTGCTTACTGTATCAAACTTCTTTATCTTCTTCTATTTGTGTTCTCATCATCAAGCCATCCAAACTAGGTCAGATGAGTACTGTCTGCAAGTTTGGACGTTCTTGTGCACCTCCCCTCACTTCATATCAATCAGACGCTTCACAACTCTAGTCCAACATGACTAAGTCAGTGTCCATGGGCTCAGGAGTTCCCAAGTCTCCCCAAACTTTGGACCAACCAACCCTTCTTCTTCACAGGTGTATATTGAACGTGGTCGGACTTACTTTTCCCTCACTTCCCCTTATTGGTGACCAATGTGGTCACCTGTCAGACCACATGCCTGCTCGTATTCCCCTTAAGTCTCAGTCTTGGAAGGAGGTTTTCCCTGAGGGAAACTGACCACTTGCCTTGATGTCTCCTGGTCGAGCGATATGCTTGTTCTTGTAGTCAGTCAGACCTCCGTTAGTGTTTTTGATTTTTCCTGTTGGTCTGTCTTTCAAGAAGTATCTTCTGTTCTAGCTGCTCCAAGCTGGTCTGCTTGTCCTTTCAAGTGGAGATTTACCACCTCAGACAATTCTGGATGGGGTTCAGGATTCCATCTATGGTCTTATGTAATGCACAGGCTCCTCGGGAAGCCTCCTTCACTGGGCAATTTCTAGCCCCATTTTTTAGGTATTCCAATCAGTTATAGGCATAAGACGGACTTACAAGCTTTCTATGGTGATATTTCTGGGTATTCTTTTCTCTGCCCCTCAAGTGTCTATTTTATAACGGTATGCCAGGGAAACCAAGATTCAAAAGGCAGCCAAGCATCTTAACATTATTTCTCTCCTTTTCCCCATTCCATGTGTCGATCCCTGATTCCAGGTCCATGTTGTTCCAAGGTTGTACATACATCATTATTTACCTCTGTCCCACTTAGCTAGCCCATGCAACCCTGCCTAATTGTTTACCCATCAGCCTTGTTCTTCCATTCCCCTCTCCCTTCTTGTGTATTGCCCCCCTCCCTAGCACCCAAACCATTCCCTGCCTGTGCTCCACCTTCCCCTCACTCACCTCACCCCACCCCGACATCCCAGTAACCAGCAAAGAATCCCCTCCACCTTTAGTATGGGTTCTTTTTCTTAGTCTTTTACAGTAGTGATCCTATGCAGTATTTCTCTTTTTGTGACTGAATCGGGCTGCAAACCTTAAGGTCAGTGGTTCGAAACTACCAGCTGCTCCGCGGGAGAAAGATGAGGCTTTCTACTCCCGTAAGGATTTACACCCTCGGAAACCCTGTACAGGGTCGCTATGGGTCGGGACCGACTCGAAGGCACTTCACAACAACAACAATGTCCTCAAGGTTCATCCATGTTATGCAGTGGCTTGCAGCTTCCTTGTTATTCTTCAAGGTAGCATAATATTCCATTGTGTGTATGTACCACAGTTTGTTTATCCATTTTTCAGTTGATGGGCACTTTGGCTGTCTCCACCTTTTTGCTATTGCAAATAATGCTGTTGTGAACATTGGTGTGCATGTATCTACTCGTGTGATGGCTCATATTTTTTGTGGGTAAATACCAAGTAGAGGAATTGCTGGATCATAAGGTATTTCTATTTCCAACCTTCTGAGGAAGCACCATGTTGCTTTCCAGAGAGGTTGGATCGTTTTACAATCCCACCAGGAATGCAGGAGTGTCCCTGTCTCTCCACATCCCCACCAGCATTTATTGTCCTCTACTTTTTTTTATCTTTGCTGTCATTGCTGGTGTGAGATGATACCTCATTGCTGTTTTGATTTGCATCTTTCTAATGGCTAGTGGAGAGTCAGAGAAAAAGAGGAAGAGCCCCAATGAGATGGATTGGCCAAGTGGCAGCATCAATGGACTCAAGTGTGGCAACAGTAATGAGGTTGTCCCAGGATTGGGCAGTGTTTTGTTCTGCTGTGCATAAGATCGCTATGGGTGGGTACCGACTTATTAGCACCTAAGAACACCAACAACAATGGCTAGTGATCGTAAACATTTCTTTATAGGAATATCATTATATCTTAAAAAGTATTTTTGAAAAATAATTTAAATCTTTTCTGTTCTACAGGACTTAAATACTATTTATTCTTATCTTCATGGAATGGAAATATTATCAAATCTCAGGGAACATCAGCTTAGGTAAGTGTGGTGCTGTCTTTAGATCATGTTCTACAGGTATTCATTCAATCATTTACCAAATGTTTGTTGATCACCTTTTATATTCCTCATGCTGTTTATTCATTTTATTTTTTGACAGTTTAATGGTGAAGGTTTACAGAGGCAATCGGGTTTCCATTCATTAATTCATATATGTTTTGTTTCGTCTCATTGATTGTAGTCCCTTCAATGTAACATCACTTACCACACTTCTTCCCTGTGTTTCTTATTTCCATTTTTCCTTCTTTTCTAACTCTTCTGAACTTTGTCATTAGGCAGATGGTGCCATTTTGATCTCGCATAGTTGACTATTCTAAGGTATGCATACCTCACTAGTATTATTGTTCCTCTTATAGACTTGTCTAATATTTGGCTGAAAATGAGCCATGGGGTGAGTTCATTTCCAGACTTGAAGGATGACTTAAGGGACATAGTTTTGGGAGTTCCACCAGTCTCTATAAGACCAGTAAGCCTGGTTTACTCATGCTGTCTTAGGTGCTTGAGATACACATACATTTGAGCCATAGTTTCCTTTAGCTTATATTCTGGTTGTTGTTGTTGTTAAGTGCCATGAAGTTGATTCTGACCCATAGCGACCTGTATAGGGTTTCCGAGGAGTGGCTGGTGAGTTTGAACTGCTGACCTTGCAGTTAGCATTACAGTGCTTTTCCTACAGCACCATGTTGTTGTTAAGTGCCGTTGAGTTGATTCCATCCCATAGCGACTCTATATAGGGTTTCCAAGGAGCAACTGATGAGCTTGAACCACCATTGACCTTGCACTTTTAACGACTTTGCAGTCTGACGCATTAGCCCACAGTGCCACACCAGGACTCCTACAGCACCATACCAGAGCTCAAATGAGGTCGGATGGTCTATAAAGTTCTCTTAGGGGAAGTGACTTTTGAGAAGAGACCTAAATGACAAGGATTGGGAGTCAACAATACCAATAAAGAAAACTTTTGTGCCTGGAGCACAGTGAGAGGAGAGGTTAGGTGAAAATTAAATTTGAATACGGAATCACAGATGCCAAATTACTTACGGACTTTTTTAAGAGTAGGAAAAGGAATCTGCATTTCTCATCCTAGTTTTTCTTAGCCATGGGAGGAACTTGAGCATGCCTTAACATAAAACCTTAGTTTTGTCCTCCATAAAATAGGGATAATCATAATATCTTCTTTACAATGTTCTGAGGATTAAATGAGATTAACTACCTAGGACAAAGCACAATGATCACATCACCACATATATGTTCCAAATATGCTAGTGAGCTTATAGGTACATGTGAAAATCTGAACTCTGGTGTTTTGTTTTGCTTTTTTGTAATTTGTATTGATGTTTATTATGTCAACTGCTTAAAGGGTCCCTGGTAGAGTAGTGGGTTTCGTGTTAGTGTGCTAATAACCACTAGGTTAGCAGTTCAAATCCACCATTGACTCCAAGGGAGAAAGATGAAGCTTTCTGTTCCAGTAAAGGTTTACAGCCTCAGAAACTCTATATAGGGTCTCTATAAGTCAGACTCCTAGTATGGGGCTGTAAGATCAGCACTGGACTTCAAAACACAAGGTTGGCAGTTCAGACCCACCAGCTGCTCCATGGAAACTCTGTACAGGGTCCCTATGAGTCAGGACAGACTTGACATCATGCAGCATGACATCATGCAGCAAAAGCAGCGTGTGAGCTGCTGAAGATGAGCATGTTGTGCTATGTAACCTAGTGGGTGGTGTAGGGCCCTTCATGTGACCCAGGGCCCCCCGCTACAAACAAAATCTGTAAGCTTTGATCTTTATTTTCTCTTCTGAAAATCTGCCCTATTTACCTTATATCCTTGTGATTACTCTTTAGATTACTTTAAGGCAATACCAGTTGTAACTTGGTATAGAATTTAATTAAAATATACATTTCTTTCATTACCAAAACTCATTCATCATGTTTCTTTGCTGTTCTTTAAAGTTTCTGATTATGCACTGCTGTTGTTGTTAAGTGCTGTGGAGTCAGTTCTGACTCACAACAACCCTGTATAGGGTTTCCAAGGAGTAACTGATGGGTTTGAACCAACGACCTTTTAGTTAGCAGTCTAGGGCTTATCCTACAGCACCACACCAAAACTCTACATTATGCACTTGATAGTTAAAAATACTCGTTTAGTTGTTTGAGGAGTTCAGCCAGATGGAAAAAATAATTGACACATTTTGAATGTGTTAGGTCACACACATTAGGTGGCACTGTAGGATAAGCACTAGATCATAAGAGCAGTTTGAACTGTAAGACTGTGCTTCAAAGCCACCAGCTGCTCCTCGGAAACCTTACAAAGGATTACTATGAATCAGAACCCACTTGATGGCACAACAATAACAATCATATTGCTATGACTCCAATCCACTGAAATTTTGGCTCTAAGGGATATTTTGACATCATTTTTACTTTCTGAATTTACATGTAAATAGTTAGGCAATTTTTCATTCTAGAAGAGGAGAACTGTAAGGCTTCCTGAATGAGAGGTTAAGCAAAGGCTATGATGTTACATATTAGAACTAAATAGGACACTGATCTTGAGAAACTGTAATCCTGTTAGTTAGACTAATAATGAATCAAGTCAGTGAAACAGAAGGTCCTTCAAGGTGAGGTTTGCTGGAGTCTGAATATAAATGGCCATATTATTAATGTGTTCACGAAAACACTGTAATACTAGTTTATGCCATAGAAAATACAAAGCTTCTTTAGTGTGAAGATGTGGGCTTAGAGGAATTAGCCAACATTTCAATTTAAAGAATGTTTAATAAGGGGGTAAATAAGTTTACCTATATATATGTATATAAGTGTTTGAGATTTATTATTTTGTTTTCTTACGTACAATAAAAAAATTTTCATTGTTATTATATGTCAAACAAGTATAGAAAGGATAGAAGAAAACTGAAAACCAGAAAATTTAGTATATAAAATTTAGTATAAAAAAAAAAAAAAGACAAAAAAACCCCAAAAAACTGAAGACCAGAGAATTTAGTATAAAAAGAAAGGTTTTCTTTTTACTGTTATCTTTAAATGTAATTATTTATTGAACAGATTTTAATGTTTGCATACCTTCACTAATAACTGTCCTTCACACTCAGAATTCAGTAGTGAACACGATAAATTTTATATTTTCATAATGAAAGAATATATTCTTTACTGTGAATTGACAGGTTTTATAATATACATAAGAATATTGTAATTGTTTCCAGTTAATATTATCTAATTGCTGTTTTGAAAATACTGCATTTTATGTGTGTGTTATCAAGCTATTGTAGTTTTGTGAAAACTTAGTGGTAATTATGGTCATATTCAGTTAAGGCAACTGCAACAGAATTTTTAAAACACAATTTAAGTTAAAATAATCTTCCCAAATTTTTACTGTTTTTTACTATGTTAGGCTAATGTCTACAAGAGCACGTTATGAAAGATACAGTGGCAATCAAATTCTTTTTTGGTAAGTATTTCTGTCATTAGTTTTAGTTTATGTTTAAATTTAAAAATTTATGTTTAAATTTTTACTTTTAACATTGAAAATTGTTTGATTTTAAAATAGTTTCTGTAGAGCAGATTGTAGTACATTAATAAACTATGAAGTGTAACATACGATAGAGTTATATTAATGTATGTGGGGTTGTGTGCCATGCAGTCAGTTGTCTCATAGCGACCCTGCATAGGGTTTCTGAAGCTGTAAATCTTTACAGGAGCAGAAAGCCTCATCTTTCTTTCATGGAAGGACTAGAAGTTTCGAACTGCTGACTTTGAGGCTAGCAGCCCTACTCATGACCACTATGCTACCAGAACTTCTTTAGCAGTTTTTAAGAAATACATCTACCTATGTACCTGTTAGCCAGATGAAAATACAGAACATACAGCTGTCTAGACGGCTCAGTCAACTCTCTTGTGTAAAGGTAATTACAGTTCTCACTGTCACCCTAGGCTAATTTACCTCTTTTTGAAAATCATAGGATAGAATCTTTTGGTCAGGCTTCTTTTAACTTAGTAAATGTTTGCGATTCTTTCATTTTATTTTTACATTCATTCTTTTTTACTGCTGTATGAATAATTTCTTTTAAAAAATTTCAGTCAGCACAAGGCTGGTCTCTGTGAGGTAGAGGTCCAAGATACTCCAAATGTCTGACTTTTTTAGTATGGTGGTAGCGTAGTGGTTATGAGTTGGGCTGCTAATCTCAAGGTCAGCAGTTTGAAACTACCAGCTGTTCTGCAGGAGAATAATGAGGCTTTCTGCTGTAAAGATTTACAGCCTCAGAAACCCTGTACAGGGTAGTTTTCAGTCACAACTGACTTCATGGCACATAACTACCACCACCATACCACTCCATTAGGGTAGTTTTCAGTCAGAACTGACTTCATGGCACCTAACTACCACCACCATACCACTCCATTGACTCCTGATATGGCATTATAAGATCAGCACTGGACAGTGAAACACAAGGTCTGCTGTTCAAACCTACCAGCTGCTCCTTGGGAACTCTACATAGGTTCATTATGAGTTGGAACTGACTCGATAGTACTTAACAATGACAACATACCACTCCATAATCCCTGACAGCAGTCACCACTCCTCCTCTCCATCGTGTAGGTTCTTGAGTACACTATAGTGTCTCAGAACTGTTAAGAAAACAGTTTATTCAAATGTGGATGTTGGCAAGCCCCAAATCCTTAGATCAGAGGTCAATCTGGAGGATTCTCCTCACCCACATAGTCTCAAGAGCTATGGAACCCAAATCCGCAGGCCAGATGACACAGGATTGGGGAGGTGGTAAATCAAGTCTAATGAACTGGAGGTCAGATGGGAAAAGCTAGATGTGAGATTCTGAGCAAGAGCGTGAACTTTATCAAAACACGCTATATATTAGACTTCAGCCCTTGCCCACAAGGAAAACTAAGAGTGGTCATGCCTTTAATCAGAGTGGAGACATCCTTAATCCTTAATAACACCTTAATCCTTACTCCTTGTTGTCATCGAATCAATTTCAACTCATTGAAACCCTGTACAAGGTTTCCGAGGAACAGCTGGTGGGTTTGAACTGCTGACCTTGTAGATTATCACTGGACTGCACAGTGCTCATTCACAGCACCACACCAGAAGTCCTTAGCCCCACCTTAATCCTGTTTCATTAACAGCTCACATTAAATTGAGTCCCTGATCACAGGCATAAAGGCTAGGATTTACAATACATCACAGAATGGGTGGATATAGCTAGAAGGGCCATAATAAATAATTAACTGCCCTAAAACTGCTGTACTATGAAATGCTATGAAAATGCTACAGACCATTTATTCATTTCACTATTAATAGACATTTGGGTTGTTTCCAGGTTTTACTATGAAGAATAATAAAGTTCTTATGGAAATTTTGTCTTTTTGTCCCCTATTTACTCATTCCTTTTGGGTATAGGGAGTTTGGATGGCACAGTGGGCTAAGTATTGGGTTGCTAGTTGAAAAGTTGGCAATTAGAAACCACCAGTTGATGTAGCTGCACTGCATGAGAAAGAGGAGGTAGTCTGTTTCCATAAAGATTTACATCCTTAAAAGCCATCTAGAGCAGTTCTGCTCTGTCCTATAGGTTGGCTATGAGTTGGAATCAGCTCAAAATCAGTGTGTTTGTTGTGCCTATTTCTAAAAATAAATAATTAGTAGAAAATGTACATGTTCAAATTTCGGGGATACTATTGGTTGTGCAGGAAATCCTGGTGTGGTGCTGTGAGTTAATGCGCTAGACTGCAAAGTCACTTTGAACCTTAAGGTCGGCAGTTTAAGCTCACCAGCCACTCTCTGGAAACCCTATACAGGGTTGCTATGGGTCAGAACCCAATCAACAGCACTTAGCAGAAATAACAGTGATTGGCTGTACAGTGGTTAAAGCACTTGACTGCTAATGGGAAAGTCAGTAGTTCAAATCCACCAGCCACTCGGTGGAGAAAGAGATGGCAGTCTTCTATAAAGGATTTATAGTCTTTGGAACCCTATGGATTAGACTGGGAGGATTGTTACAAATTGGAATTGACAGGGGATTTTTTTATTATTTGATTTTGATGGTTTTCTAAAATAGTTGTACCAATTTCCAATAACCACCAGCAGGGTATGATAAGTTCCAGTCTCTGCATTTTTTATGACCTGCAATATTGCCAGTTTTTGTTTGCTTGATTGGAATTTTTAGAAACGCTTCAGATTATTGCATTTTTATCATCCTTTCATTAACTGTTTATAATGCCTCTTCTATGAAATCTCTGTTCAAGTTTTTGGCCATTCTTTAATTGGCCTCTCAGTGTTGGTTTTATTGAATTGTAGAAAATTTTTTTCTTAATATTTTATTGTGAATTATATGATAGTTTGTTTACATGGGAGAACATTAATTTTACATTCATTTTGTCATATATCGTTTCTTTGCCATGGTTACAGTCCCCTCCATGCATCATCAACCAACCAAAGGGTATACTCTGCAAGCATGCCCCCCACCCCCACCCCCAGTCTTCAGCACACAGTCCTCTCCCTCTCTGGATCTAAAGTCCCCAGCTGCTCTATTGCTCCACGTCATCGTCTCTGCCTCCATCTCAGGCATCCCTGCTTCTCTGGGTAGGGTCCTGCTCTCTGCTCTTCTCCGTTGATGGTCCCCTTAGGGACCTCCGCTCCTAGACTGGAAAGTTAATCACTCCCTTTCTTGCTATAAAATGTCTGTCTTTACATTTCCAACCCTCACAATCAGTCCTGATAACAATCATTCACTATTGTATCACAAGAGACCCATCTGCATTTCATTTCATCAGCTCCACCTAGACAGATTGGATAATACTCACTGGAGATTCTGCCTTCCTCCATGCCCCCTGGCTCTAGGTTCCCTCTTGAAAGCTTGTAAGCCAGTTACTTCTTGCCTTTGTAGCTCTCCCCCACTCCATTTTGGGTAGCCAATGTCCAAGTTGCCCATCCCTGTCTACTCTGTGTGTAGAGGGGATGGGAATGATTCTTGCTGTAAGGATTTGTTCCCTCTTTTGAGCTACTGCATCCATAGGTGTAGTTCAAGTTCATCAAATTGTATCAGATTACTCTTTTTTTTCTCTTCTTTCTTCTTCTGGTTGAGCTCTGATCATCCAGTCATTGAAGCCAGGTCAAGTGGGTATTATCTACAAGTGTGGGTGTTCTTGTGCATATGCCCTCTCTTCTTATCAGCTGGACGCTTCACTGTCCACTCTAATCCTCTGTGGCTATGTCACTGACTCTGGGCCCAAGAGTCCCCTGGACTTGCCACACTGCTGGCCAACCAGTCTCTACTTGGGTTCACAGATGTCTATTGAACATTGTGGGACTTAGCTCACAGCTTCATTGCTGTTTTTCCCTCAGTTTCCCTTATCAGTGACGAATGTGGTCACTAATCACAGCGTGTATTCCCATTGAGTCTTAGTCTTGGAAGGGGGTTTGCTCTCAGGGGACCGTACCACTTGCCTTGATGTTTCCTGGGCTTGCAACTTGCTTGTTCTTGTAGTAATCAGTCGGATGTCTGTATTGTTTGGTATTTTTCCTGTTGGTCTTTCTTTCAAGAAGTGTCTTCTGTTCTTCTAGCCACTCCAGGCTGGTCTGCTTGTTCTTTCAAGTGGAAATTTCCCACCTCAGAAGAGTCTAGATGCAGTTCAGGATTCCACCTGTGGTCTTATGTAATTCAAAGGCTCCGCAGGAAGCCTCCTTCACTGGGCACACTGTAGCCCCATTTTAGGTATTCCAATCAGTTATAGGCAGAAGGTGGACTTACAAGCTTTCTATGGTGAAATTTCTGGCCATTCCTTTCTCTCTCCTTCAAGTGTCTGTTTTATAATGGTATGCCAGGGAAACTAAGATTCAAAAAATAGCCAAGCATCGTATTTCACTCCTTTTTCCCATTCCAACTATGTCTCAATCCCTGTATTCCAGAGCCCTGTTGTTCCAAGTTTGTGCATGCATCATTATATACCTCTGTCCCACTTAGCCCATGCAAACCTGCCTAATTGTTCTCCCATCTGCTTTGTTCTTCCATTCCCCTCTCCCTTTTTGTATATTGCCCCTCTCCCTAGCACCCAAACTGTCCTGTTTCTATTCCGTGCCCCAAGCTCCACCTTTCCCTCTCTCCCATAACCCCACCCCTCACATCCCAGTAACCAGCAAAGAATCTACCTCCCCTTGAGTATGGGTTCTTTTTCTTACCGTATTTTACATTAGTGGTCTTATATAATATTTCTCCTTTTGTGACTAATTTCACTAAACATAATGTCCTCAAGGTTCATCCATGTTATGCGGTGGCTTGCAGCTTCCTTGTTATTCTTCATTGTAGCATAATATTCCATTGTGTGTATGTACCACAGTTTGTTTATCCATTCTTCAGTTGATGGGCACTTAGGCTGTCTCCATCTTTTTGCTATTATAAATAGTGCTGCTATGAACATTGGTGTGCATATATCTACTTGTGTTATGGTTCGTATTTCTTGCATGTAAATACCAAGTAGAGGAATTGCTTTATCATAAGGTATTTCTATTTCCAACCTTCTGAGGAAGCGCCATATTACTTTCCAGAGAGGTTGGACCATTTTACTATCTCACCAGGAATGCAGGAGCGTCCCAGTATCTCCACATCCCCGCCAGCATTTACTGATTTCTACTTTTTTGATCTTCTTCTTGTTTTAATTTTCTTCAGCTTCAGCCTGAACTTGCATATGAGCAATTGGTGGTCTGTTCTACAGTCTGCCCCTGGCCTTGTTTTGGCTGGTGATATGGAGCTTTTCCACTGTCTATTTCCACAGATGGAGTCAATTTGATTTCTGTATATTCTATCTGGTGCGGTCCATGTGTTTAATCATCTTTTTTTAAAAACATTTTATTATAAATTGTGTGATAGTTTACATGGGAGAACATTAATTTTACATTCTTCCTGTCATATATCATTGCCATGGTTACAGTCTGTTCTATGCATCATCAACCAACCAAAGGGTATACTCTACAAGCCTGCCTCCCGGTCATCAGCACACAGCCCCTCTCTGTCTCTGGGTCTAAAGTCCCCAGCTGCTCTGTTTCTCCACGTCATCGTCTCTGCCTCCATCTCTGGCATCATTGCTTCTCTAGGTAGGGTCCCACTCTCCTCTCTTCTCCCTTGATGGTCCCAGAGACCTCCGCTCCTTGACTGCAAATTTAATCATTCTCCTTCTTGCTACAAAACATCTACCTTTACAATTCCAACCCTTACAATCAGTCATCACAAGGGACCTATCTGCATTTCCTTTCATCAGCCCAGTTAGATTGGATACTACTCAGTGGAGATTCTACCTTCCTCCATGCCCTCTGGTTCTAGGCTCCCTCTTGAAAGCTTGTAAGCCAGTCAGTCACTTCTTGCCTTTGTAGCACCCCCACTTTGTATAATCATCTTTTATGCAGTTTAAAAAAGGTATTTGCAATGAAGAATTCATTGGCCTTGCAAAATTCTATCATGTGATTTCCAGCATCATTTCTATCACTGAAGCCATATTTTCCAACTACTGATACTTCTGTTTGCTCCCAACCTTTGCATTCCAATCACCAGTATGATCAGTATATCTTGATTGCATGTTTGATCAGTTTCAGATTGAAGAAGTTGGTAGAATTCTTCTATTTCTTCATCACTGGCTGTGGTGATTGGTGCATAAATTTGAAGAGTAGTGGTATTAACTGGTCTTCCTTGTAGGCGGATGGATCTTATCTTATCACAGACAGCATTGTACCTCATAACTTCTCTTGATATGTTCTTTTTGATGATGAATGCGACACCATTCCTCTTCAGTTTGTCATTCTCAACATAGTAAACCATGTGATTGTCAGATTCAGAATGGCCAATACTAGTCCATTTCAGCTCACTGATGCCTAGGATATTGCTATGTATATATTCCATTTTATTTTTGATGATTTCCAATTTTCCTAGATTCATACTTTATACATTCCATAGTCCAATTATTGAGCATTTTACAGCTGTTTCTCTTCATTTTGAGTTAGGACCCTTCAGCAAATGAAGGTTCTGAGGGATTTACTCCATTTCCATTATTGTAGTCACCTCTATTTTGAGGAAGCAGCTCTTCTCCCGTTGAATTTTGAATGCCTTCCAACCTGAGCAGCTCATTATCTGGCACTGTATCTGATAATATTTGATGCTCTTCATTGTGTTTTAGTATTCAGTAATTTGGTGCTGAAAGCGTTCCACTGCTATTTTTAAGGTTTTTAGTGACTATGTATTCAGAAGTAGTTTGTCTTTCCTTCTTTCTAGTCTGTCTTTGTCTGGAAGCCCATCTGAAACCTGTCCGCTATGGTTGACCCTGCTGGTATTTAAAATATCTGTGGCATAGCTTCCAGAATCACAGCAACACACAAGTCAGTACAGTATGGCAAAGTGACAGACAAGTGGTGCCACATTCATATGAGATATGAAAATACCATGGTTTGGATCAGGTGCACCATAATCCTCAAACTAACATATTTGCTCTTGAGTATCTTTAAGATAGGCTTGTATAGCAGATTTGCTTAATTTAATACGTAGTTTAAATTTTTGGACTGCTGCTTCCTTGAACGTTGATTATGGATTCAAGCAAATGAAGTTATTGATAACTTCAATGCTTTCTCCATTTATCTTGATGTTGTTTATTGGTCCAGTTGTGAGGATTTTTGTTTTCTGTACATTTAAGTCCAACCCATAATGAAGGCTGTAGTCTTTGACTTTCATCGGTAAGTATTTTATTTAAGTCTTCCCTGTTTTTTGTAAGGAAGGTTGCATCATTTCCATATCACAGGTTTTTTGTGAGTCTTCCTCCAAGTCTGATACCATGCTATTTTTCACATAATCCAATGGATCATTTGCTCAGCATACAGATTAAATAAGTATGGTGAAAGAATACAATCCTGGTACACACATTTCCTGATTGTAATCCATTTAGTGTGCCTCTTATTCTGGTCAAACAAAACTGCTTCTTGGTCTATGTAAAGGTTTCTCATAAGCAGAATTAAGTGTTTTGGAATGCTCATTCTCCACAATGTTGTCCATAGCTTGCCATGATCCACATAGTCGAAAGCTTTTGCATAGTCAATGTTTGTTGTTGTTGCTGTTGTTGTTAAATTCTGTTGAGTTGGTTCTGACACATAGCACCCCTGTTTAGGGTTTCTGAGGAATGGCTGGTGAGCTTGAACCGCCGACTTTGCAGATCAAATTGACTTTGCAGTCCAGTGAATTAACCCACAGCACCATACTAGGACCTCATAGTCAATAGAGCACAGGTAAACATCCAGTATTCTTTGCTTTCAACCAATATCCATCCGATGTCACCAGTGATAATCCCTTTGTCCATATCCTTGTCTGAATTCCGCTTGAACCTCTGGCAGTTCCCTGTCAATGTACAGCTGCATCTTAAATTATCTTCAGCAGCAGCTCATTTACATGGAATATTAGTTTGCTGTACAATGATTTCCTTGTTCTGTTGGGTCACTTCTCTTTGGAATGAGCACAAATATAGATAGATCTCTCATCAGTCAGTTGGCCAGGTAACTGCCTTCCTTATTTCTTGGCATGGATGAATGAATGCCTCCAGTGTTGCATCAGTTTGTTGAAAGATTTCAATTTGTATTTAATCTATTTCTAGAGCCTAGAGCCTTGTTTTTTGCTAATGCCATCATTGCAGCTTGAACTTCTTCCTTGAGTACCATTGTTGTTGTTATTGTTGTTAGGTGCCATCGAGTTGGTTTCGACTAATAGTGACCCTGTGCACAACAGAACGAAACACTGCCTGGTTTGGAACAACCTCACAGTCATTGCTATGTCTGAGCCCATTGCTGCTGCCACCGTGCCATTCCATCTCACTGAGGTCGTCCTCTTTTTCTCCAACCCTCCATTTTACCAAATACGATATTCTTCTCTAGTGACTCATCACTCTGATAATATGTCCGAAGTGTGACAAATGAAGTCTGGCCATCCTGACTTCCAAGGAGCATTTTGACTGTACTTCTTCCCACACAGATCTGCTTGTTCTTTTTGCAGTCCATGGTACTTTTAATATTCTTCTCCAACACTGTAATTCAAATGCATCAATTTTTCTACAGTCTTGGTTGGTTATTCACTGTTCAACTTTCACATGCATATGAGGTTATTGAAAATACCATGACTTCAGTCAAGCACACCTTTGTCCACAAACTCTGACGTCTTTGCTATGAGTTGGAACCATCTCTACAACACTTAACAACAACAACCAAAGAGTATATTGCGTGTTCCTTAGAATCAAGAACTTATACATGTTATCAGGATCAACCAGTCCCTGGAGAAGGACAACATGCTTTGTAGCATAGAGGGTCAGCAAATAAGAAGATCCTTAAGGATGTATTAAGACAGTGAGTGACTTCAGCAGTGGGCTAAAACCTAAAGATTGTGAGGATGGTACAGGACTGAGCAGTGTTTTGCTGTGCTATATGTAGGGTTTTTTTGAGTCAAAACTAATTTAAAGGCACCCAATAACAACAATGAACATATACTTTTTTTTTTTTCCTGGCTGTGGCTGTGCGCTGAACATATACTTCTGAAGTCTGTATCTCAAGGTAGTGATTATTATTTTTCATATGTGAGCATGGTGTAAGGCAATATTTAAAAATTCCCAGGTAGCGTTACTTAATTTTTAATGATTTGTAATATTAAAATGTATCTCATGATATATATATTTTATACGTAGTTTGTACATATAAATTTGCATGTTTGTTTACTCAATTTATTTACCTATTTTTTAAAACAGTTCAGAAACTATTGCCAGATGTTGGTACATCCTTCTTTCTGGATCTGTGCTTATGAAAGACTCCATGGTTTTGCCTCCGTGCAGGTAGGTTTATATTTGCTGCTTAGTGCATTTGTTGGGCACAATTAACATTAGTATTTTGATTTTATCTTTTATGTTAAACTGTTTTATGCAACATGTTTTTTCTCCCAGTAAGTGATACGTTATATTTCTTACTTGTTGTTACCATTGGAAATACTTGGCAAAGTTAATATTTCATCTTTTTGAGGATTTAATTTAAATTTAGTGCCCAACGTAATACCTTACTCCTATCTGATTCTTAGTTTGCTGTGAAAATTGATGTGATATCTTATGGTTTTTAAATTCATTCTGATAAGATTGGTTATGAGCCTTGTTGGTGCTGTAAATACTAGACTATGAATCACAAGGTTGGCAGTTCAAACCCACCATTCACTCCATGGGAGAAAGATGAGGCTTTCTGCTCTATAAAGGTTTACGGGCTCAGAAACCCTATCCAAGGTCACGATGCAGCGAATAGGCTCAATGGCAGTTTTGTCTAATATTGGTTATAGAGAAGCAGTTTAAGAGCAAATATGTCAATTTGAGGACTAAGGTGCCACCTGGTCCAAGCCATGGAATTTTTAGTAACCACCTATGCATATGAAAGTTGGACAGTGAATAAGGAAGACTATAGAAGAATTGATGTATTGAGTTGTGGTGTTGGAAACGGATATTGAAAGTACCATGGACTGCCAGAAGAACAAACAAGTCTGTACTGGAAGAAGTACATCCAGAATGGCCAGACTTTACCTGTTATATTTCTGAAATATTATCAGGAGGGACCAGTCCTTGGAGAAGGATATCATCTTTGATAAAGGGGAGGGTCAGTGACAAATAGGAAGATCCCCAACAAAGTAGACTGGCACAGTAGCATCAGCAAAGGGCCCAAGCATAATAACAAGTTTAAGAATGGTGCAGGACCAGGCAGTGTTTTTATTCTGTTGTATATAGGGTCACTATGAGTCAGAACCAACTTGCCAGCACCAAACAACAACAGTAACATCACAGACAGGCAGTAATAACACAGTAGTTGCCATATTGTTCTTTGTAGTCAAACTAGGTTAGAATCTTGATTTCATTACTTTGGATAAAGTTTACATTTCTCACCTATAAAATGGGGACAAAAGTAGTACCTACTTAATTAAGTGTTGCCATTAATGTTTTTCACAAGTCACTACTCAGATCTCTCAGTAGAAGTTTTGTGAGTTTATACTTTGCTCCGCCAGCACTGGAACACAAGGTTGGTTTGAACTGCAAGGTTGGTGGTTCAAACTCAACAACCACTCCTTGGAAACCCTACACAGGGTCATGATGGGTCAGAGCCAATTCGACAGCACTTAACAACAACTACTACTACTCCTTGGGCAAATTAATTCACTCCTATTGAATATATTGTGTCTTGTAGTGGCCATATAGGATAGATAAGAACTTCCTTGTAGGATTTCTAAGCCTGTAAATGTTTATGACAGTAGTCTGCCACGTCTTTCTCCCGTTGAGCAGCTTGAGGGTTTCAGCCACCTAACTATCAGTTGGCAGCTGAGCATTTTAACCACTATGCTACCAGAGTTTCTCCTGGGCAAATTACTTAAATTTTTGTTCCTCATTGTCCTTATTTATAAAAATGTTCAAAATGATTTAATATACCTTATAGCTCTGTTTCTTAGCATTAAATAGTTGTTTTATACACAACACATGCATGCATTGATGATCAGCTTCAAAAAGTTCCTGGAAAAATTCTGTTATCTTTTAATTCCATATTTACACAATCTTTATCAAGCCCCCTAGGTTCTGAAAAAGAATGTTGTTTGGAAAGATGGTCTGATGTGGTATTTTTAGAGAACTTATACTGTTAAAATACGTAATTTTTCAGTAACTTTTTAACAATGTTGAAAATAGATTTCTAGGCTTTTAAACTAAGACTTTCAATTAAACTAAATAAATTTAGTTATGCATAGGGTCACTTGAGTTGGTACGGACTCAATGGCACCTAAACAACGAATAAATTTAGTGGCATAGTCAAAGTATCAGGACACAATCTACTTTTTAGAAGTATGAGACATCTTCTATATAATGCCATTTTAAAAGTCATGTCCTGAGTCCTGAAATGTCACATGGTTGGCCTCTAATTGAAAATTACTATTGTTAGTAGAATAAAACAGTCATTTAAAAAATTTTTTATTTTTTCTTTTAAAGGTGTTTATGTGGATTGAGTGAAAGTTTACAGGGCAGATCATAAGTTTTATATTCAACAAATCATACACCTTGTTTCATTACAATGATTATAATCCCCTCCATGTACCATCAGTTAACAGTATTTTTCTCTATCCACTTTAGCTTTTTAAAAAACACACAAACAAAAAAAAACCATTCAGGCATATATAATAATTTACATTTCCAAAGGGCACATTCTGCAAGTCTGCTCCTGGCCACCAGCTCTTAGTCCCTCTCTTCCTATGAATCTAGAGTCCTCAGCCGTTGCTCTTCTCCATGTCCCCATGTCTGCCTCCTTCACTGGCGTCCGTGCTTCTCTGGATATGGTCCCACATTCTGCTTGTCCTCTTCTCTCTGATGGTCCTAAGGTCTTCTGTTTCTGGACTGTAAGATTAACCACTCCCCTTTTTTTGTTACACAACTTCTACCTTTACAATTGTGACAGTCACAATTAGTCATGATAACAGTTGTTCACTATTGAATCATACAAGCCTTATCCCCATCTCTTTTCACCAGACCCATCTAGACAAGATGAAATCAATTCAGTGGGGATTCTTTCTTTCCCCCCATACTCTTAAACTCCCTCTTGAAACCTTGTAAGCCAGTCACTTTGTGCCTTTATCACCCCTTCATTTTAGGTAGCCAATGTCTAAGTTACCTGTCCCTATCTACCCTGTGCACAGAGGGAATTATTGATACTTGTTGTGAAGACTCCTTCCCTCTCTATTGGTATTTAGAGTTACTGCCTCTCTGAGTATAGGTCAGGTTCATCAAATTGTAGCAATTTACTATTGTTTCCTTTATAAAAAAATTTTTTTTTTTTTTAATCTTCCTCTAGTCAGTTGAGTTCTTATTATCAAGCCATTGAGGCTAAGTCAAATGGGTACTGTCTGCAAGTTTGGGTGTTCTTGTGCATTTCCCCTCATTTCATATCAGCTGAATGCTTCATTCTCAGCTCTAGCCCTCTGTGGCTATGTCTTTGTTCATGGGCTCAAGTGTCCTCAGGTCTCACCACACTTTGGACCAACCAGCCCCTCCTCTTCCATCTCCAGGTCAACAGGAGTCAATGGACTGTGGTTGAATTCAGCCCATTTCTTCATTGCTGCCTTTCCCCCTCTTCCACTCACTAGCAAGCTTACATGCCTGCTCGTGTGTTCTATTTGAGTTTCAGTCTTAGAGGGGACTTTGTCCTGAAGGAACTTGATTGCTTGCCTTGTTGGCTTCCTGGCGAACAGCTTGTTTATTCTTATAGTAGCCAGTCATGCTGACATTTTTGTTTTGGGTTTTCCTGATGATCTTTCTTTGAAGATGTATTTTCTGTCACTCTAGCTGATCCAGGCTGGTCTGCTTGTCCTTTCTAGTGGGAATGTCCCACCTCAGAAGGTTCTGGATGGGACTCAGGATTCCACCTAAGAACTTATACTCTGCAAAGGCTTTGTAAGAGGACTATTTCACTGGGCAAGTTGTAGAACCCGTTTTAGGTATTCTAATCAGTTATAAGCTGAAGATGGGCTTACAGGTTTTTTGTAATCATGCTTTCCAACATTCTTTTCTATTCCACTCAAGTGTCTATTTTACAATAGTAGGCAAGGGAAGCCAATATTCATAAGACAGTCAAGCATTTTAGTATTATTTCCCCTCTTCAAGCTATGCCTAGATCTCTGTATCCCAGAGCCCTGTTGTTCCAACGTTGAGCATGCATCACTATTTACCTCTGTCCCACTTAGGAATGCAAACTTGTCTCAGTGTTCCCCTAACTCTCTTATTCTTATGCCTCCTCCCACTTCTTGTATTGCCCTCCCCAACACATGAACTAAACCCCTCACCCCAACCCAACTGTTTTGGTTACCTTATATTCCATTAACTCTTCCCTCCATTTAAGACAGTCTGTTTTATCTTGTAATCTACCTGACTTTCCCACCATCAGGATCTCTGTTCCTCTGTGTGTACCTTCTTTCATATTGTAATTGTTTTGATCATAGACTGACCTCCCAGATCCCATGTTCTTATAATTTTATTCTGTTCTTGACTCTTCCATTTGTTGATTGAGTTCAGGGTGATGCTGCCACATACATCATTCTCTAGTTGTCTGTTCTTGTTGGTTCTCAGTCTACAGAACTTTAGGATATTTTTCATAGCAGGATTGGCTTTGGCAAAATGCCTTAGCTTCTGTTTATTCTGGAATGTTTTGATTACACCATCATATTTGATTGACAGCTTTGCTGGGTAGAAGAGTCTCCCCATTTCCTTCTTGATTGCATGGTTTCTGTTGAGAGATCCAAGCTTAATATGATTTGCTTGCTTTTGTATGTACACTTCTCTTTTCCCTAGCTGCTTTCAGGATTCTGTCCTTACCTTTGATTTTGGAGCGCTTGATTATTATAGTCTTGGTGATTGTCTTTTAGGGTCTTTCCTTCCTGGGGTCCATTGAGTTTCCTGAGTGCTTTTCTTTTTGCTTTTCAGGATGTTATGAACATTTTCTTCCAGAAGCTCTTCAGGTATCTCCTCTGTGGACTTGTGTGATTCTTCCTGTTCCGGAATGCTGATAATTCCTAAGTTATTCCTCTTTATGTTGTCCAACATGAATCTTAGGTCGTCTTCAGGTTTTTTTAAAATCATTTTTTGTGTTTGCTCTTCTGTCTTAGTAGTGTTAGAGATTAATCATGTAACTCACTAGTTCTGGCTCCTGTCTCTTCAGTTCTACTCCTTTGTCTTTTCAGTGTATTGTCCATTTCTGAATATTGTATTATTAATCGTTTAGACCTCTTTCTGTAGGTTTTGAATGGTTTCCAGTGCTGTCTACTTTATTTGAT